GGTTTATAGTCCTTATCCGAGAAGACTTGTTCTACCACCAGAACCATAGGCGAGCGTGCCGTTCGAACCAGCGCCGATATTATGGCTAAAGCTTGCGGCGCCCCTGCTAACCGCTCGGCCATTCGACTCACCTCGACAATTCAAGCATGTCTTACTAAACTGTCAAAATTAGCAGTGCTACCGTATGTGCGAGGTGTTGTATACTATTGCGGTCGTATGGGTTAAAGTGGTGCGTCAGGTCTTCAAAGACAGGAGGATGGTTCCCCCGAAAGGGGGTTAGTACCCCCGACAGGTGGACTAGTACCCCCCGACATTCTTTTTAATAAAGAATCCCACAATTAACACAACGTTTTTTTATCTTTTAATTTAAAAAAAAATTTCCCGACAAACTCAAATTTTCCCCGACAAATTAATTTTTCCCCAACCGGGTGGGAGTGGGGCTAGGCTTCCCCGGCGGGGGGAGGGGGTGAAGGCGTGGATCCCCTTGTCGGGGAGCTTGGACCCCTCGTCGCGGAATTCCTGGCGCCGCCCCTGGTCAGTTCGTAAACACAAATTACTGAAGTGCTCGTTCCTAAATACCAATCAAGGCAATTCACATGAACACTTTATGGTGCAATATAAAATTGTAGTTTGATGGCTCTATTTTGATTTTCAGGTTTGCCATAGCAGATTTTACCATTATTATCACTTTCGCACCTCCGCATCTACCCTCTAGTTGTTGATTTCAATAAACTGAGCTGTGGAATACATTTTTTTATCTATCAAATCAAGAACTCTGCATTGTCAAAATATGAAATTTGCCTGGGAAAACGCGAAACAGTAATATTGCCTAAAAAACATCTACTAAACTACAATCTTATATATTCTATTTGTATTCCTTCTAGGGGTGGTTTGAAGAAAATTGGATCTGGTTTATGTTCGTAGTTATTGGAGTTCCGTGTGGAGCAGTTGTTTCAGTGCTGTTGCTACGAAATCTAAAACGGTAAATAAGGGCTTTTTTCTTGCAAACATTATACAATAAGAATAGATAGGACATTGCTAACAAGTTGAGTACATTGTTTAAATGTTTATACTCATCTAATATCAATGTTTAACACAAAAAAAACTGACCAATCAGTTCTCATTGAAGACGATTTTTTAAAAGATACCACCATATTTAAATACCGTATGTTCTATCATGCATGTCTATCAATATTACACTTAATGTATGAATTGCGGCACAATGTGTAAACGTTAGGAAAAGGTATGAATAAACTGTGACCAGGGGTGGATCCAGAATTTGTCAAACGGGGGTCGGGACAAAACAGTTTCTGAATAGGTGAGTAGCACATAACATTGTTTTGCATTGAATTTTTAAAAATTTAGCGATCCCCTATCTGAACTTGCAGCTTTAACTAGGCTGAAATGCGCACATGGGTGGACTAACTCATTCAACAAGTTTCTTCTCCCCAAGGGTCACATCATGTCCAATCAGCTGCAAAGAGGCGTTCTTTCGTTTGTCCACAACGACAGGGACTAAATGAACCAGTACGTACACCGGGGTAACCCCATACTCTTCTCGAAGGATGTACTGGGTTCGTTAAAGTGCACACGAGCCAATTGTGTACACTGGGCTATGCCAACAGTTAGAGTCCTTATCCGAGGAGACTTGTTCCACCACTACAACCACAGGGGAGCGTGCCCGAACCAGCGCCGATATTGTGCCTGTAGTTGCGGCGCCCCTGCCTTATCCGCTCGGCTATTCGACTCGCCATTTATCCTATGTTATACCTGGTTATACAATAAAATTTTAACACGACCTAGAATCAGACATATTGGGAGCATGCAACTGACTGTCTCACCAATAGACTTATGTCTTGTTGCATTTAAACTTCTTCAAATAAACATGTAGCTTTGTTGTACATTTCAATATTGTAGATCCATGAAGGTCGGTCCTGTAGAGGAGGAAAATTCGGATGTTCCGTTAAGTGCCTCGAGTAATGAGGAGCCCAAGACGGATGATTCCATGCCAAAAGTAGATACGTCAAATGTGTAGGGGGAAATACATCACGATTACCTTGTTGTGAGTAATGCTTATGACATGGAGGAGTTGCCAAAAACGGATGAGATCAATGTGTATAAGACAATAAGTCTATAAAATTATCTTGTAGTAATTATGACACTTGGGACTCTTTTCAACATTTTTGTGATAACTGTGTAGATTTTGAAAAAAAAAACCAATAGCCAAAAAAATAGTATGGAAAATCAGGTTGAAAAAAAAATCCCAAAAGTAGTAAAATATAAGTTAGTATAATATTTTTAATGTAGTGACGCTGTATTCCTTGCCGTAAAGTAGAATTCTTAGGTTTGTTCAGATGGTAGTTTTGCTGTGGGAAAAAATCATTGATCAAAAAAATGTTTCTGGGTGGGCACATCTTCGGATGACAGTTTTATACTTTTGCCCATCCTCGGCAGCCCCTACCAACTTTATTGTTTTCGTTTTTGTCGGAAGATTTAACTAAATAAAAAATAAAATCTCCGTACCAAACTTAATGTCATAGTCATTTATGCAATTCTATAGTGTGTAAAATCGTCACTTAAGAAATGACGTATCTGTGCAGCACAGAAAAAACATTTTGTGATTAGGTAAAACTTAATTATATTTTCGTCCAACAGTATTTACATATATGAAAATCAGTTCTGATCACTTATAGAATATATTATAATTGCCATAATTGTCACTCAAATTTGGGTAAAATGTACTACTTTGTACTATAAGATCTTAAATAATCGTCCTTTCTATTGGTCCGAAATATATAATGTTTATATCTCGCCACAACCCTTTAAAACCATCAATTTTAATAAGCAATTTTTGTAAGATTCATGTTACCACTTCTGACATTTATTTTATAATTTTCAAAATTATATTGGTTGCTTTTGTTTGATTTACTTTATTTTGTTAGTTTAAGTTCTTTGTTTTGTTTTGCATTAAGTTGTGTTTGTGTGTGCCTAGTTTTAAGCTTTCTTTTTGTTTGTAAAAACATAGATGAAAATCAGTTCTGATTACTTATACAATATATTATAATTGCCATAATTATTAATAAAAATAATCGCACAGACTTGGAACAACCAAATCTTTAAATCACTGGGCAGAGCCTTCTACCAAGGAACAAGTACACACTCTCATGTGCGCAGATCATGGGGAATGGGGAACAAGTCCCCTCCCACAATTTTCAAATGGGTTGGTCTCCAAATTTTCGACTACAATGTAATTGTATAAGTCAAGAAGATGCCTGAGAATGGTTGAAATGAACTGTATAAATGACCCAGTTTTAAACGAAGGAGCAAAGTACAGCCAGCGTACAAGATGATGAACTTTACTATATAAGAGTGTCATTTCCGGTCATCTAGAGGACAAATTTTCTTAACTCCCCCCCCCCCCTGCCCATCGGCCAAGGCTCGTCGGGCAGTCGGAACAAAAAAAAATAGTCCTAGCTTTCCCATCCCAGTTACTGTACTGCCTACGCCAATATGAGAGTAGTGGTCATGACGTCATCATTCTGGGTGATTTTAACTTAGGCCTACCTGACATAATATTCCGTCAATATGCCTACGACCAATATTAATAATTTAAGTCAACTTTTTATTGATACAGTTTTAGATAGTAATTGCCTGTATCAGTGCAATTCATCTGTCACGCGCAACAACAAAATTTTAGATCTAGTTTTATGTAACAAATTTTTAGACTGTTCGTGTATCGCTACTGGACTTAATATTTTAAATCCGACCATAAATCAATATCAATGTTTTATTCTTTTAAGTGCAATAGTAATAATGATGATCTTAATTATTGTAATAACAGACTTGTTTACAATTTCAAAAAACTTAATTATGCAGAGATTGCAAACATTTTAAATTATATACCATGGAACATACTCGACTTAACTGGCAATGCCAATGAGGCTACTTCTTTATTTTATGATTTACTCCATGCAACAATAAATGATTTAGCACCTACTTTTAGACCGAAGAGGAAATTTCCTCCGTGGTTCAACCATGAACTGTATCAAGCCTTAAAAGCATATTAAAGAATGAGTAACAAAATCACAAAATGAAAAGAAAAAAGAAAGCATTAAAATAGTTGTGGTATGAAGCAGTTTAGCATTGAGTTTGATTTTGTTACTCATTCTTTAACATGTTTGACTCTAGCCAAAACGGATATAGTACTTTATACTACAATCTTTTTATTTATTTATTTTTTTTTTTTTTTTTTTTTTACTTTAATCTTTTTTTTTTTGTTACTTTAATCTGATTTGCTAAAAAGTAGAATTCTTTTCTAGAGAGGGCGCTATACACAATAAAACTCTGGATTGAGCCTCTCTAGTTCCTGAAAAAAAATCTTGTGACATAGCGCCATCACATGGTCTGTTATAATAGACTCATCAGTTCCAGGCATTTTTTTTACAAAATTTGAGTAGAATTTTCTTTTATTTTTCTCATTAAAACAGTGCAAGTTTACTGCGAGCTAAAATATGCATTTTGAATTTGTAGTAAAAAAAAGTTTGTTGGTCACTATTACAAAATGACCTTAAAATGTACATAGCATGCGACATTCGCTATTATAAAAGCCATAATGTGAAAGAAACGTTGTTATAGATCCTAAATATGATATAAATTCTATAGAACGAACGTTGCTGCAAATTTCGAGGGAACCATGATCGATTCAACGTTGAATCGTAGCCTCCCTGTATTATTCGGAGTAACGTTCGTTCGTATTTAAACTTAGGCCTAATCAGTGCATCTGTTAAAATTTTGTCTATGAAGTTTTGCAATGTTTTTTTAGTGTATTATGAATAAACGAACAAGTATTAGGCCTACACGTCTGAGCAATTATTTTTACTGTGGAATATTGTAGTATTTGAATGAACTTCATGTGCACCATGGACTTCTTTTTTTCTTGTTTTTTCAATGTCATTTATACAATTTCACTAATTTTGACAATTAAAGAATACTGAATATTATTCAAGACGTGATATCACAGCTTATTGTGTACTCCATAAGCAGCTAACATCAATGGCAAGAGTAAACGGTCATTAATTTGTTAGCTATAAAAGAATCCCGCCTTGTATTGGTTATTCCCAGATATAAAATCGATATTGACGGTCACTCAGTGCAATAGATATTTCAGGAATCAAGAAGGAGGTGAACAGCTATCATGGAACCCTCGCAGCGCGCGACTTTTGCATGAAATTCCGTTCGGGCCGTCTCGGATTAACTCGACTCAAGTTCGATAATATATCGTGGTAAAATATGGAAACTATTAGGCAAAAATGAGCAGGCACTTCACAACATCGCGACGTTCGAGTATCATTGTTCTTTCTAGGTTTACTTAGGTCTATGACATTTTACAAATTTATCGGATATGAACATGTCATCAAACCTGTCTTATTTATATGTTATTAAATATTCAACTGAGACGGCCAAAGTGAAGTTTATGCAGAGTCACGTACCAGTGGTGGATCCAGGAATTTGAAATAGAGGGGCCCAGAGAGGAATTTTCACAGAAGAAGGGTGTACTACCTCAGCCACCACTGCGTACGGCAAACACAAAATCACACAGACTTGGAACAACCAAACCTAAAAATCACCTATTGTAATATTACTGTATATATGTACTGTATGTTACTGTATTACTGTATAATCATGCACTATTGATTATTGTAATTACGACTGTTTTATGTGTTGTATTAATAAAATGCATTATCTTTTTTTCATATAACGCACCAAAATAGATTCCTGTCATTTGATTGGTGGATTTTGTATCACGTGACATTGCTTATTTAGGTCTACCCCATTTCGTCACTCATCATGGGAATTTATTTCCATCCGTGCATTTTCTTTCCATCCGTTTTTGCCTATCGGTGCCTAGGATTCGATATGACTCAAACTGATACAGTCTTTTGATTGGTTAAAGAGACGCTGGAATGTTCTATTTAGGAAAAGGGTAGATTTTTTCATAAAATATAACATGACAAGAATCTTAATTCAGAAAAAAAGTAGATATTTTTCATAAAATATCAAATGACAACAATCTATTTTAGGTGTGTTACAAAACAAATAATAAATGTTTTTAATTCGCGCCTCCTCGAATGGAACAGTCAGTCTTTCAACTAATGAAAATATTCATTAGTATATATATGATTTCTAAGGAAGATGATGTCGGTCTACGAACCATTTTCTCACTTTCCGTTATCACCTACGGTACGTCTCAAATTGTAGTATGTTTGTAGTTGTAAAGATGCCGCGTCATTAGGCGTCATTAATTAATTATGGAGAAATACCTCCATCGCTGATATATAACGGTGGTCTATCATCCTATTTTATAATAAGTGTATAATAATAATAATAATAATAATAATAATAATAATAATAATAATAATAATAATAATAATAATAATAATAATAATAATAATAATAATAATAATAATGTCTCTGTCAGGTGTTTTAGTTAGTACGCATAGATCAAGTTTGACTTATGTAAAACCGATGAAACAAATTATATCAAATATATTGATTGTAATGCATGTTATTATAAGCCTATTGCATATACAGTGCATACATCTACTTCTGATCTGACATAAACTTAGCCTTAACAAAAAGTTTTTAAAATACAAAAATTGGTTTTCTTTAATTATTTGAATATTTGAAAGACATAAAATTTCCTTCTGTCATGAGCCGTTTTAAGATTGGTAGTTTTAGCTTAAACAGTTTCAGGTCTGAATAATAGTTAGGCCTATATTGATTTATAATATTTGTGTGTTTATTGTCCGCACAGTAAACGTGTCTTGTGTGCTTTTGTTTCCCTAAATTGGCCTATTTATTTATTTTCTAACCATGGTATACGTAGAATATCATGAATTATGTAAAGTTGTAATGTATTAGCAATATGTAATAATCATGCACCCATTTTTTATAACTAAATTATTGAATATATATTTTGTACCAGAAATAATATTAATTTAATATACTGTATTTTATTTAATAAATGTGAACTAAATTAAAATGCTATATTGATTTCTAATGGTAATAATTAATATTTAACTTTGGTAATGATACAAAATAGGTATTTAGGTGGCATTACTGCATTTCAGTCCCACGATTCATCGACAGATGTGTTTTATAGGGAAGCGAATGATGTCGGTCCTACGAGTATTTTCCAACTCTTCAATATCAACTACTGCTCCATTATTCTGAGTATGTTTGTGTTTTTTTAGTCTTTTCGTTTCTGAGTATGTTTGTTGGGCTAAACAGCTAGCGTTTATCAGGATTGCTATAGGGTGCTTGCTAAGATTTTTGAAATTGACTTATAATAAGTCGATTGACTTTAATATTAACCGATGCGACATTGTACTCAGTTGAATGGCATTGCTTTAAAGCCGGGGAGTTCTTATACAGTAGGCGAAGTGCGGTACTCTTGGAACATTAGCCTACAATATTGCGAATCCATTGGAGCATCATTGACAAGGATATCATCTTTAGAAGAAAACCAGTTCGTTTATTCTTTATCTCCTAAAGGCCGTGGCAATATGTGGATCGGCTTAAACAAGCAGAAAACGAAGGGAGTATGGGAGTGGACAATGAAACCATATAATTTAGACTTCACATGTACATACCTGTAATACAAGGATGTAGAACGCTGAGATGAACAGTAGAACACACAAAGAATATTGAGGAAACGAATATTTCGTCTTGTACTAAAGACTTAATAAGCATAACAGTACTGAATTTTGGTTTCTTATAATTTGTGATAATTACGGTATTGGCCTTTAGGAAATTAATTTTCAGGACAGGCTTACGAATAATATTTCTTGTACGTGTTACGTAAAAAGAAAATTATTTTAGATTGTTTTGATGTCTATATTCATATTTTAAATTTTTTTTATCATAGATTGGGATGACGATGCGTTGACTGATGACGACACTAGAATGTGTGCAAAGATATCTTCTTTGGGGAAGTGGT